TACTCATTAAGACACTCTTCGGGACGTTACACGGAACTCGAATAAGTTTAACCCAAAAATCTCATTTTCTTTCAAAGATTCAATCTTTATACATTGGAAAGGTCTAGTAACAGAATTGGTACCTTTATTGTGGTATTTTTCATTCAAAGATTCAATCTTCAGTCATTAAAACACTCTTCGCGATTTCATAGGTAACTCGAATAAGTTAAACTCAAAACACTCATTTTCTTTCAAAGATTCAATCTTTATACATTACAAAGGTCTAGTGGTAGAATAGGTACCTTGATTGAGGTAATTTCATGAGTAAAGATTCAATCTTTACTCATTAAAACACTCTTCGTGACGTCAAAGGGAACTCGAACAGCTTTAACTCAAAACTCTCATTTCTTTTCAAAGATTCAATCTTTATACAATCAAAATTTCTAGTGACTTAATAGGTACCTCGATTGAGGTAATTTCATTCAAAGATTCAATCTCTATTCATTAAAACACTCTTCGGGATGTCAAAAGGAACTCGAATAAGTTTAACTCAAAACTCTAATTTTCTTTCAAAGATTCAATCTTTATACATCAAAAAGATCTAGTAACATAATAGGTTCCTGTATTGAGGAATTTTCATTCGAAGATTCAATCTTTGGTCATTAAAACACTCTTCGCGACTTCATAGGTAACTCGAATAAGTTAAACTCAATACTCTCATTTTTTTCAAAGATTCCATCTTTATACATTAAAAAGGTCTACTGACATAATAGGTACATTGATTGAGATAATTTCGTTCAAAGATTCAATCTTTACTCATTAAAACACGCTTCGTGACGTCAAAGGGAACTCAAATAACTTTAACTCAAAACTCGTAGTTCTTTACAAATATTCAATCTTTATACATTAAAAAGGTCTAGTGACATAATAGGTACCTTGATTGAGGTAATTTCATTCAAAGATTCAATATTTACTCTTTAAAACACTCTTCGAGACGTCGTAGGGAACTCGAATATGTTTAACTCAAAACTCTCATTTTCTTTCAACGCTTGAACCTTTATACATTAAAAAGGTCTAGTGACATAATAAGTACCTCTATTGAGGTAATTTCATACAAAGATTCAATCCTTACGCGTTAAAACACTATTCGGGACGTCATAGGGAACTCGGATAGGTTTAACTCATAACGCTCACTTCTTTTTAAAGATTCAATCTTTATATATAAAAGGTCCAGGGGACAAAATAAGTCCCTTGATTCAAGTAATTTCAATCAAAGATTCAATCTTTACTCGTTGAAATACTCTTCGGGATGTCATAGGGAACTCGAATAAGTTTAACTCAAAACAGTCATTTTCTTTCCAAGATTCAATCTTTATACATTAAAAAGGTCTTGTAACATAATAGGTACCTTTACTAAGGTATTTTCATTCAAAGATTCATTATTTAGTCATTAAAACACTGTTCACGACTTCATAGGTAAATCGAATAAGTTGAACTCAGAACTATCATTTTATTCCAAAGATTCAATCTTTAGACATTAAAAAGGTCTAGTAACATAATAGGTACCTTTATTGAGGTGTTTTCATTCAAAGATTCAATCTTTATTCATTAAAACACTCTTCGCGACTTCATAGGTAACTCGAATAAGTCGAACTCAAAACTCTCACTTTCTTTCCAAGATTCAATCTTTGTACATTAAAAAGGTCTAGTGACATAACAGCTACCTTGATTGAGGTAATTACATTCAAAGATTCAATATTTACTCATTAAAACACTCTTTGGGACGTTACAGGGAACGTGAATAAGTTTAACTCAAAACTCTCATTTTCTTTCAAAGATACAGTCTTTATACATTAAAAAGGTCTACTAACAAAATAAGTACCTTAATTGAGGTATTTTCATTCAAAGATTCAATCTTTAGTTATTAAAACACTCTTCGCAACTTCATAGGTAACTCGAATAAGTTGAGCTCAAAACTCTCATGTTCTTTCAAAGATTCAATTCTTATACATTAAAAAGGTTTAGTGACAGAATAGGTACCTTGATTGAGGTAATTTCATTCAAAGATTCAATCTTTACTCATTAAAACACTCTTCGTGACGTCAAAGGGAACTTGAATAACTTTAACTCGAAACACTCATTTCTTTTCAAAACGTCAATCTTTGTAAATTAAAAAGGTCTAGTGATGTAATAGCTACCTTGATTGAGGTAATTTCATTCAATGATTCAATCTTTACTCATTAAGACACTCTTCGGGACGTTACAGGGAACTCGAATAAGTTTAACCCAAAAATCTCATTTTCTTTCAAAGATTCAATCTTTATAAATTGGAAAGGTCTAGTAACAGAATTGGTACCTTTATTGTGGTATTTTTCATTCAAAGATTCAATCTTCAGTCATTAAAACACTCTTCGCGATTTCATAGGTAACTCGAATAAGTTAAACTCAAAACACTCATTTTCTTCAAAGATTCAATCTTTATACATTACAAAGGTCTAGTGGTAGAATAGGTACCTTGATTGAGGTAATTTCATTCAAAGATTCAATCTTTACTCATTAAAACACTCTTCGTGACGTCAAAGGGAACTCGAACAGCTTTAACTCAAAACTCTCATTTCTTTTCAAAGATTCAATCTTTATACAATCAAAATTTCTAGTGACTTAATAGGTACCTCGATTGAGGTAATTTCATTCAAAGATTCAATCTTTATTCATTAAAACACTCTTCGGGATGTCAAAAGGAACTCGAATAAGTTTAACTCAAAACTCTAATTTTCTTTCAAAGATTCAATCTTTATACATCAAAAAGATCTAGTAACATAATAGGTTCCTGTATTGAGGAATTTTCATTCGAAGATTCAATCTTTGGTCATTAAAACACTCTTCGCGACTTCATAGGTAACTCGAATAAGTTAAACTCAATACTCTCATTTTTTTCAAAGATTCCATCTTTATACATTAAAAAGGTCTACTGACATAATAGGTACATTGATTGAGATAATTTCGTTCAAAGATTCAATCTTTACTCATTAAAACACGCTTCGTGACGTCAAAAGGAACTCAAATAACTTTAACTCAAAACTCGTAGTTCTTTACAAATATTCAATCTTTATACATTAAAAAGGTCTAGTGACATAATAGGTACCTTGATTGAGGTAATTTCATTCAAAGATTCAATATTTACTCTTTAAAACACTCTTCGAGATGTCGTAGGGAACTCGAATATGTTTAACTCAAAACTCTCATTTTCTTTCAAAGCTTGAACCTTTATACATTAAAAAGGTCTAGTGACATAATAAGTACCTCTATTGAGGTAATTTCATACAAAGATTCAATCCTTACGCGTTAAAACACTATTCGGGACGTCATAGGGAACTCGGATAGGTTTAACTCATAACGCTCACTTCTTTTTAAAGATTCAATCTTTATATATAAAAGGTCCAGGGGACAAAATAAGTCCCTTGATTCAAGTAATTTCAATCAAAGATTCAATCTTTACTCGTTGAAATACTCTTCGGGATGTCATAGGGAACTCGAATAAGTTTAACTCAAAACAGTCATTTTCTTTCCAAGATTCAATCTTTATACATTAAAAAGGTCTTCTAACATAATAGGTACCTTTACTAAGGTATTTTCATTCAAAGATTCATTATTTAGTCATTAAAACACTGTTCACGACTTCATAGGTAAATCGAATAAGTTGAACTCAGAACTATCATTTTATTCCAAAGATTCAATCTTTAGACATTAAAAAGGTCTAGTAACATAATAGGTACCTTTATTGAGGTGTTTTCATTCAAAGATTCAATCTTTATTCATTAAAACACTCTTCGCGACTTCATAGGTAACTCGAATAAGTCGAACTCAAAACTCTCACTTTCTTTCCAAGATTCAATATTTTGTACATTAAAAAGGTCTAGTGACATAACAGCTACCTTGATTGAGGTAATTACATTCAAAGATTCAATATTTACTCATTAAAACACTCTTTGGGACGTTACAGGGAACGTGAATAAGTTTAACTCAAAACTCTCATTTTCTTTCAAAGATACAGTCTTTATACATTAATAAGGCCTACTAACAAAATAAGTACCTTTATTGAGGTATTTTCATTCAAAGATTCAATCTTTAGTCATTAAAACACTTTTCGCAACTTCATAGGTAACTCGAATAAGTTGAGCTCAAAACTCTCATGTTCTTTCAAAGATTCAATCCTTATACATTAAAAAGGTTTAGTGACAGAATAGGTACCTTGATTGAGGTAATTTCATTCAAAGATTCAATCTTTACTCATTAAAACACTCTTCGTGACGTCAAAGGGAACTTGAATAACTTTAACTCGAAACACTCATTTCTTTTCAAAACGTCAATCTTTATAAATTAAAAAGGTCTAGTGATGTAATAGCTACCTTGATTGAGGTAATTTCATTCAATGATTCAATCTTTACTCATTAAGACACTCTTCGGGACGTTACAGGGAACTCGAATAAGTTTAACCCAAAAATCTCATTTTCTTTCAAAGATTCAATCTTTATAAATTGGAAAGGTCTAGTAACAGAATTGGTACCTTTATTGTGGTATTTTTCATTCAAAGATTCAATCTTCAGTCATTAAAACACTCTTCGCGATTTCATAGGTAACTCGAATAAGTTAAACTCAAAACACTCATTTTCTTTCAAAGATTCAATCTTTATACATTACAAAGGTCTAGTGGTAGAATAGGTACCTTGATTGAGGTAATTTCATTCAAAGATTCAATCTTTACTCATTAAAACACTCTTCGTGACGTCAAAGGGAACTCGAACAGCTTTAACTCAAAACTCTCATTTCTTTTCAAAGATTCAATCTTTATACAATCAAAATTTCTAGTGACTTAATATGTAAGGCCCCAATACATAATTATTTTTTTATTAGCATAATTTAATTTTTATTAGACATCATTTATGGAATATTTTATGTAGTAGTTTGTATGGTGAAGTTAATAGTTGGTGTCAAAACTTATTAAGTTGGTGACAGCCAATGGTAAGAAAAGAAATAATAAAAATGATAATATTCCATGTGTACGTGTGTGTGGTTATATGTGTGATACTAGAGAATGGGTGTCTACTAAGGTCATTGGTGCTGAAGGTAATAAATGGTGGAAGTGGTGTGATGGTTCTAATATATATTGATATACTTATGTTTTATTTTAAAGTTTGACCAAGTAGTTATTTATATATATGGGTAAGTTATTGACCAGGTCAAGTACATATTCCACCCACCCATGTATATAGATATCTAGTAATACACTTTATTCTAAAAGCTTCCAAAGGAGGCTGTTACTAATTGACACACACACGCATGAGTCATGAAGAGGGGAAAATCACATTTATATCTAAGTGACACGTTGTCTAGAGATTTGCATGGACAAGAAAAAGAAAAAAAAATAATAAAAATACAAATAGAAACAAAGGAGGGATTTTTCAGCCGTAGAAGAAGAAAATATTATTAAACTTTGGGTAACACATGTCACATAAGCTATGTGACAATTTACATTTCCTGGAGACTAGATGTACACCATCCATGTGACTATATACTTTTCAAGACTAAAGTTATTATGCTTTAAAGCGGTGGCTGGTGGCTGCAATATATAGTTGTCTATATATATAGGTTTCAATTATCATTTATATGGATAGAGATGAGTAAAGTCAGGTTGCTGGCTGCACAAGGCTGGACCGAACACACAGGACACGCAATTATGTAGATATACTCTATATATAGATAAGGTTAATTCTATCTTTTTAAACCTGTTTGGACCGCCTTTGAGAAAGCCATTGTTTTGGTTGAGACACACAAAATATATCAAAACAGTGAGCTATTTAGTGATAGTTCAAAGAGAGAAGAAAAATACGGAGGAGGAGGATAGAAAAGAAAAAAGGGGGTTTTCTCTCTAAATTGTTGTTGAATTCAAGCAAAGGTGAGGGGTTTTATATTATAATTTCTATGTTGGAAGTTGATTATTCAGTTATTTGAATAATTAATCCAATTAATTGTTCCAGTATATGTATCATCTATTTTTTTTATATTTTATTTATTTATTCAAAGGCTGTTTTGTGTAAGTGATACCATGGTTATGGTTATTTTCTTTGGGGTCATCAAGCTGGAAATTTATATAAAGACATGTGATTAGAATTTAGCCAAAAGGGTGTATAAAGTTTGAGAATTGTAATTGAGGTGATGATTGTGATTTAATTCTCTTTAGAAAATAAATATAACTTGGTTATATTCTTGTCCAGGCAAGGAGAATGAACTGATCACTTCAGCAATATCAAAGGATAAGTAGACAATTTGAAAAGTAGCCAAGGTGAGTGTACTCACTGGAAGTTTATACCTGGATGTGTTTAATTGAAGTATTGAAGTTGTTTATGTGAGTTGAAGATGAATATATATAATTTGATTATATTTAAATAGGGTCCATACTCTGGCCTGGAAGGAGAGTAATATATTATATAAGGTCCATACTCTGGCCTGGAAAGAGAGTACTACACTAAATAAGGTCCATACTCTGGCCAAGAAAGAGAGTACTATATCTAAACAAGGTCCATACTCTGGCCTAGAAGGAGAGTACTATATTTTAATGCCTGTAATATATTAATGAAGTTTAATTGAAGTTATCAGATAATATTTGTTTATATTACTCTGATGTAGTAGTGTTGCATTCACTGGGCTTTAAGCTCACTCCTTCCATATCTATATTTTTTTCAGGTACAAGGTTGGGTCGCTACTGCCAGGTCTAGAATTTTTGAGTGGGAATGGGAAAAAGAACAATGGAACGTCTTTTGTTTAATATGTAAATATTGTAATAGAATTTAATAGTATAAGTTGCCGTTAATGTTTTTTTCTTTGTCAGAATTTGCATAACAGGCCTATAGGTAGTTTTTGAATTGTAAACTGTTAAACAGGTGCTCTGATGTAGGATGACGTTATATTTGAAGGAGGTTAATGCAGATGGTTAGATGCATTCCAATTTATTCAATTTGTTTAATAATGTAAATTGGGTTGGGGTGTGTCAACTTTTGGTATCAGAGCCTAGGTTTTCTAGGTTCTGGAGGTCAGAAGAGTCTAGACTGGCAGTGGCAGTAAGAAGTGTGTAGTAGAGTCATTTATTTGCCTTAATGTTATACTAACAGATATAAGTGGTGATTATGTATCATATATATGTTGTTATATTTGAGATTCATTGCAGATAAAAAGAAATGGAAAGGGAAAGTGGTTATCATGGAACTGAGGGTGAAGCCACTTATGTTCCTGTTGAGGCTGAAGTAGAACAACCTATGCAGGGTGGTATGAGAAGAGAACAGGAGTGCTTAACTGGTATGCAGAAAATGGAAAAGGCTATAATAGACTTGGCAGAACAAAACAAACTATTTATGGCGAGTCAAATGATGATACAAGAAAGGCTGGAAAGACAACAGAAATGGAAGAAAGGCTCTGAGTATGAGAGGTTTATCAAGTTAACACCCCCAGAATTTTCAGGTACTACCAAACCAGAAGAAGCAGAGGGGTGGGTAAGAAGAATGGAATCGATATTTGCAGTGATGGGTGCAGCAGAAGACCAGAAGGTAAACTTAGCTACATTTATGTTCAAAAATGAAGCTAGTTATTGGTGGGACACGACAAAACATTTGTTGCTCACTCCAGGAGAGAAAGAGGTGATATTCTGGAATCCATTTGTTAAAGCTTTTTATGAGAAATATTTCCCTCCAATTTACAGAAAAGAGAAGGAACGGGAGTTTATTCTCCTAAAACAAGATAGAATGTCTGTGGTTGACTATGAAGTTAAGTTTACAGCTTTATCGAGGTTCGCACCCAAGTTTGTACAGAATGAAGAAGATAAATGTACAAAATTCCAGGATGGTTTAGAGGCGGCTATTAAGTCTAGAGTTTCAGTGTTTGAGGAAACAGATTACAACAGACTTGTGAATAAAGCCATGATTGCCGAAAGGGATGTGAAAGAATTGCAAGAAAGAAGGGAACAATACAAAAGAAATAGATCTGAGCCGTCACAGTCAAGAGGAGGTGAAGGAATTGCAAGTCAGAAAAGTCAAAGGTCGCGGTATGGAAGGGGAAGGGGTGGTGAATCTCAAGGCCAGACATCAAGTATTGGAAGAGGTCAAGGGTTTTCCGAACAACAATCTGTTCAACAAGGTAGTTTTGGAGGACGTGGTACTGGCAGGGGGTGTTTTCAGTGCGGAAAGGAAGGTCACCAGAAGAAGGATTGTCCTATCTTGAAAGCAGAAGAGTGCTATCATTGCCATCAGCCGGGTCATCGGAGGAGAGATTGTCCTATGTTGACAGGAATGACCTCAGTGGGCAGTGTTGCTGGTTCTGGTAGAGGTTTTGCACAGGGGAACTCGTCAAGAGGAGGTAAGGGTGTTACAAGTGGTTCGCAAGCCCAGGGAAGAGTGTTTGCTATGACACTTCAGGATGCTCAAGCAACACCAGAAGTGGTGACAGGTACACTTTCTATTTTGGATAGAAATGTTACTGTGCTTATTGATCCTGGCTCAACCCATTCATTTGTTGCATCATCTATTGCTATGCATTTGGGTAGACCACTTTCATCATTAGATAGTAAATTGTTTATTTCTACACCAATGGGAGAAGTGGTAGTGGTTGCAAATGAATACCGGGATTGTGTGTTACAATTGGGAGATAGACAGTTAAAGGTAAATTTGATACCGTTGGGTATACCAGATTTTGATATCATTTTGGGTATGAATTGGCTATCTGCGTATCACGCTTCAATAGACTGTTTTCGGAAAGAAGTTGTTTTTCAGATACCAGGGGAGCCAGAATTTAGATTTACAGGAGAAAGAAATGTTATTCCAAACTGTCTCATTTCAGCTATACAAACCAGGAAGTTGTTGAAGAAAGGGTGTCAGGGTTACTTGGCTTATGTGGTTGATACTGGAAATAAAGATATGACACTTGAAAATGTACCAGTGGTAAGGGAATTCACAGATGTGTTTCCAGAAGAATTACCAGGGTTGCCAGTGGACAGGGAGGTAGATTTTACCATTGAGTTAGTACCAGGAACAACTCCAATTTCTATTGCTCCGTATCGAATGGCACCGACAGAATTGAAAGAGTTGAAGATACAGTTGCAAGATTTACTAGATAAAGGCTTTATTCGACCTAGTATTTCACCGTGGGGTGCACCGGTGTTATTTGTTAAGAAGAAGGATGGTACTATGCGGTTGTGTATTGACTACAGACAGTTAAATAAAGTGACCATCAGAAATAAGTATCCATTGCCACGAATTGATGATCTGTTTGATCAGTTGCAAGGGGCAAAGGTGTTTTCTAAGATTGATTTGAGGTCAGGATATCACCAGTTGAAGGTAAAGGATAGTGATATTTCGAAAACTGCTTTTCGAACTCGATATGGTCATTATGAGTTTTTGGTAATGCCTTTTGGGTTAACTAATGCTCCAGCGGTGTTTATGGATTTAATGAATCGAGTATTTCATCGGTACGTTGATTCTTTTGTTATTGTCTTCATCGATGATATTTTGATATATTCTCGGAGTGTGAATGAACATGAAAAGCATTTAAGAATTGTGTTACAGATGTTACGGGAAAAACAACTCTTTGCTAAGTTCAGCAAATGTGAGTTTTGGCTTGATAAAGTTGTCTTTTTGGGGCATGTAGTATCTGGGGATGGTATTTATGTTGACCCATCAAAAGTGGAAGCAGTGGTGAAATGGGAAAGGCCTACCAATGTGACAGAAGTCAGAAGTTTTCTGGGATTAGCAGGTTATTACCGGAGGTTCATCCAAGGGTTTTCTAGTATCGCATTGCCATTGACAAAGTTGACCCGGAAAGAAGTAAAGTTTGTGTGGGGTGAGGAATGCCAAAGAAGTTTTGAAGAATTGAAGAAAAAGTTAACGTCAGCCCCAGTGTTAACTATTCCGTGTGGTGGTGAGGGTTTTGTGATTTACACTGATGCTTCACATCAGGGTCTGGGATGTGTTTTGATGCAAAATGGTAAAGTAATTGCCTATGCTTCTAGACAATTGAAGAATCATGAATTGAATTATCCTACACATGATTTGGAGTTAGCTGCTATTGTTTTTGCTTTAAAATTGTGGAGGCATTATCTGTATGGTGAACTTTGTGAAATATTTACAGATCATCAGAGTTTGAAGTATTTGTTTACACAGAAGGATTTAAATTTGAGACAGAGGCGTTGGATGGAGTTAATCAAAGATTATGATTGTAATATCCACCATCATCCTGGAAAAGCCAATGTAGTAGCAGATGCCTTGAGTAGGAAGTCTTCAGGGAGACTATCTTGTGTACAGTGTGCACGGGTGGCAAATATTATGGAATTGAGACTGATGGGAGTTGAATTGACAGTTACTAACAAAGGAGCATTGTTTGCACATGTTACGGTGAGACCTTTGTTGCTGGATAGAATTAAAGAGCTGCAAATACATGACGTATTCCTGGATAAGAAAAGAAAAGAAGCTCAAGAGGGTATGCAAACTGAATTTATAGTTAGGGATGATGGGATTCTGTATTTTAAAAGTCGAATTTGTGTTCCAAATGATGTTTCCTTGAAGAAAGATATTTTAGATGAAGCCCACAGTTCTATATATGCTATGCATCCGGGGAGTACTAAAATGTACAGGGATTTGAAAGAATACTATTGGTGGAACAATATGAAGCGTGAAATTGCAGAATTTGTAGCAAAGTGTTTGATATGTCAACGAGTGAAAGCTGAACATCAGAAACCAGCAGGGTTGTTGCAGCCGTTACCAGTTCCACAGTGGAAATGGGAGCATGTAACCATGGATTTTGTGACGGGACTTCCAAGATCAAAACGAGGACATGACTCTATTTGGGTGATAGTTGATCGATTGACGAAATCAGCTCACTTTCTGGCAGTAAAAACTACTTATTCTACAAAGGAATATGCTCGTTTGTATGTTGATGTGATCATATGTTTGCATGGGGCTCCAGTTTCTATTGTTTGTGACAGGGATCCGAAGTTCACTTCGAGATTTTGGTATAGTTTGCATGAAGCCATGAAAACTTCTTTGAAGTTCAGTACAGCTTTTCACCCGCAGACAGATGGGCAGTCAGAACGAACTATTCAGATTTTGGAAGATATGTTGAGAGCTTGTGTGTTGGATTTCAAAGGTAATTGGGATGATTATTTACCGTTGATTGAATTTGCCTATAATAATAGTTATCAGTCTACTATTGGAATGGCACCGTATGAAGCTTTGTATGGGAGAAAATGTAGAACTCCATTGTGTTGGGATGAGGTGGGGGAAAGAAAGTTATTGGGTCCAGAATTGATTGAACTTACAACAGAAAAAGTGAAGATAATTCAGCAGCGTATGAAAGTGGCACAGGATAGACAGAAAAGTTATGTAGATGTGCGAAAAAGAAGAGATTTGGAATTTGAAGTTGGTGATTTTGTTTTTCTTCGTATTTCTCCTTGGAAAGGTATTATGAGGTTTGGAAAGAAAGGTAAGTTAAGTCCCAGATACATTGGACCTTACAAGATTCTGGAACGAATAGGAGCAGTGGCGTATCGGTTGGAATTACCAAAAGAATTATCAAGATTGCATGATGTTTTCCATGTGTCTATGCTTCGAAAGTATATATCGGATCCATCTCATGTTTTAGTTGCAGAACCGATAGCGTTGAAGGAAGATTTGACTTATGTAGAGGAACCGGTACAGATTGTGGATCGCCGGGAGCAAGTGCTACAGAATAAAACTATATCACTGGTAAAAGTATTGTGGAGGGGTCATACGATTGAAGAAGCGACTTGGGAAAGTGAAGAAGTTATGCGAATGCAATATCCTCACTTAT